CATGCCACAGATCGCTGGAATTCCGCTTATTGTTGTCTCAGTGTTTTGTCAGAATGCTCCACATAAGTTTCATTTGAGCAACTGACACAAATCTGACGCAATTGTTCGCTCGGGGAGGTCGAGTGAGGCCCCAAATTGCAAGCGCAAACGCCAGGCATTCTCTCGCAGTTTGGATTCGCTCGAGGTGCAGCAGACAGCTACTGGTGAGGCCTCTGCTAACGCCACCCAGGCGGGGGGGGGGGGGGGCGGGAGGTCTGGTCCTTTTCCATCGACTGTTGGATAATGTTTAATGCACCTAAGCATAGCTTTCCTTTTGTGGGTCTGTCTCAAAATGGTGGGACCCGCGAATATGGTGTTTTCCTTTTGGTTTCCCTTGAAAACCACCTCAAAAGAAGTGGTTAGCCTGGAAAACACACACTCGTATTTGTCTTAGTTCAGTTTGGCACACGATGGCAGGTTTCAGTTTCGTCCATCAAGGACCTGCGACCTGCCAAGGGCTATGCGTCTTGAGCGTTTGGCTGGGTTTTGGTTGGACTTTGGTTGGACGGATCGTACATGAGCAGGTTTTTGGGTGATCGAATTTACCACAAAAGAGATTGCGCACCTTGGTTAACCTTCGGAGGTTTCCAGCCGGCTGAGTGTGGTGTGTCGGGCTATAGGGTACCGAACATGTTTTGGTTTCCCTTTAAAACCACAAAAAGGAAGTACCCTTACAAAAAGACACATCCCTTTTGAGGAGTGAAAGGAGTTGGTAGTGTTTTTTGTGGCCCAACAAAATAGAGGGAATCGTCTATGACGACTGAAAGGACGCTTATACCTTAACCGATCCCCTAGAATTTCGTCCAGCAGGACAACCCCTAGACGAACGGATGTGCAAACGGATGTTTTGTTTAAATAAATTCCCGATGTGTTTGTTTGCTTAACACACAAAACAAATGTGGGTGTGTTTTGGTTCAGCGCGGTTGGGTCTGAAGTACTGCAAAATATGACTTGGAAGGGTTGTGGTTACCTGGACGGGGACTTGAGTGGACATCCGGATCAAGGTGCTCCAGGTCGTTCCTAAAAAGATGAAGCCTCAATACTCACTTGCAACCAAGGCGAATCGACCTGAAGTGACCTTTTGGGTTTCTCCCATGTTGGTCCACGAGGTGCCAAGAGGCGATCACCATTCGGCAACTGAGGCAAGGTTAGACAATGATGACGGTTGCCCGTGGTTTCCCTTCGTTCAAAGTTCTACCCTGCCGTCGGAGCAACCCTGTTCAGGAGTGATCACTTTTTGCGAACAGGGTGATCGGCAAGTGAGAGGAAGCTGAGCTTAGGGTCAGAAGTCGCCTCGCGATAGGCGAGGAACTCAGAACGACCTGATTCCGACCGATCCGATAGGTGGAGAGCGCCTCCTCCTCGGAGACGCTGCAGGCAGATGCCAACTCCTCGGCGGAGGCGTGGTGATCACTTACCCTTTTGGTGGGAACCAATCAGAGACCATTTTGCGGGTTGGTGTTTGCTGACCCTTATATGAGTCGCCAAGCTTAGATACAGACCATTTAGGTTGATTTGTTAATAGAACCTTTCCTACCCCCGCCCCCAAACACACCTCCCAAAATTATCGATGTTAACCTTTACCAATTGGGTGTGTTGTGGGTGTTGTTTTGGAGGAGTCCCTTTAGGGGGGGGGGGCAGAGGGGGGGGGGGAGATTTTTAGGCGGCAACGGATTCATTGGTCACCAAACTGCCAGATTTCGTGCGAACCGATCAAAGAGTGTTCTCCGGTTGATATTTCTTGGTGGTTTCCAGCCGTCTCCTCAGGTTTTAGGTTTTCATGGTTTAGGGGTAGTTTCCACACCACTAAAAGTTTGCGGCTTTTAGCAGGGGATCTTAAGGCTTTTTTTGCGTTCCCCATGTTTCTCTTTTACCCACAGCAAAAAAGAGAAACAACACATGAGCCACGTCCTCAAAACCCGGGTAGATGAAGGTTAGTACGGGATACTTCCCTTGCCATAAAAGGGTGCCTCCCTTTTTAATTCCTTGCATTGTTTTGGGTAGACCATGAACCCAAAAAAGGTGCCTGAAAACAAGACGAACTTTCCCCACACCTACCAACAAAAGCTTTGGTTGTGGACTTGGACCATACCGATCGGCTTTTGATGGCTCACCCGCCCATGGCCGGAGGTGGACGGGGTGGGAGCGGAGGTCACCACCCAGGCGGCACCTTGGAGAAATGACGGACGTCGAATTTGGTTTGGGACGGTGGATGGCGATAGAGTTGGCCACCCAAAAAGGGTAAGGAATTTGAGTATGGGTGGCTCGCCTTTGCTGGATTGGTTGCAAAGGGACACCAAAAGGAAAACCATGATTTTGGGGGTTCCCCAAAAAAAGCAGACCCATATGGTGTATTGTTCTGGTTGTGTTGGTATCTATGAGGATTAGTTGGTAGTATATATATATATTAGTGGTATGATGGCGACTTGGATGAATAGTGCTACAGCGCAGGCCACGCATG